TAAATTTTTTCTTTTTAATTTCTTTAGGATTTCTTTATGGTTTTTTTAGGATTTTATAAGGATTTTTAAAAAATTCTTATGGATTTTTTTTGGATTTCTTTAAGGTTTTTTCTTTCTTTTCTTTTCTTTTAGATTTCTTTAGGCTTATTTAAGATTTATTTATTATTTCTTTATGATTTCTTTAGAATTTCTTTAGAATTTTTTATATTTTTTTATAATTTATTTAAAAATTTAATTGAGCTTAATTAATATTTGATTATGTTTGTTAAGTTGTAATTACAATTTACATATGATATTATTTGAATAGTTAGGACTTATTATTACAAATTTCTTTTACCTTCTACAAATAAGTGCTTGGTGCATTCTCAAGCAAGACTTCATGTAATACAATGACGTCTTACACATGGCTAACTTGTTGGCTAAATTTCTAACCTATTAAGTACTTATGGATATGTATAAAGCTGAAATCATGTTTTCAAAGCTTCTAAAAAGTTTTTTTGAAAGATATTATGAAATTAATCTATTTTTACCTACTTCTATCTATTCACAATACTTAGGTAATTATTAAAATAAATATGTATGTTTGTGACATAGAGACAATAATACTTAATATCTTCATCATAGTCTAAATAAATACATCTTTTACAAAATTCTAACTCTTTGTGCTTGCCTAAATCTAAATGAGTAACCATTGCATCTACTAATAATTTCTTTAAGCTTACAATGCCAAAATAATTAAATTATTGATGCCATAGATATGCTTTCTTTATAGTTTATCTTCTCTTAAAAAATGAGTGATATACTTTTTTTAATTTGAAGTTTCCAATAGCTTATATAAAATTTCAAATTTAATATCCTTGATGATGGTATTATTATATTTTATAAAATAAATTCATGCCTTAAAATTAACTTCATAATTTTGATTTGTTACTTTGTAAATTTGCTAACAAATTCTTGGTGAATCTTTTGATATAAAAGATGTCATGCACATCTTTTTAAATCTTGTTGGAAAGTTGAGAAGAAACATTATCTATCCTTTGGTGGCAAGTCTAATATCACCTTAGGATAAAATATTATATATACCTTAGGATATAATATTTTTTTTATAATTATAAAAATACCTTATATAATTATAAATATAAGATTATGACTTGGATTTGTTTTTTATTTCCAATATCATTTTTGAGGTAGATCTAATATCCTTCTTCCAAGATTATTATTATGTTAGTTGAATTGTAACCACTTGCAATATTAATTCAATTAGAATGTAAGTTCTTAGTGACACCACAAGTATATTAAATGATTCCATAAGATTTTCTTATAATGCCATATCAAAGAATGTATGTCAAATGTTCTAGCCAATTGATGTAAGTTATTTAATTATCTTTTGTAGTTTGCTTATGTATGTAACAATACTATCACCTTCACTTATTTGTATGGTCCAAAATTTATGAAACAAGTATAATAGATTTGAATTTTTTTTCAAACCTTGTATGTTGCTTCAATTTATTTTTATGCAACCTATGTACTTTCAACCTTGCTTGTAGTTATAAAATTTATATTTTAAAGACAAAGAAAATTACAAATAATTACTTGGAATTTGTGTCCTTTTATTTTTTTAATTATGCTAGATCCATAATTAATTCAATAAATTTCTTTTACTTCCTATAAACCATCTTCTATAAATTCTTATTGATAAGAATAAACCTAATTTTCTTCTTCTCAAGATGCTAATTAGTTCCATCAAATTTCTTTATATTCTATTTATATTTTTTAAAAAAACTATTCTTAACAAAATAAAAAAATATAGAAAAAATTAAAAAAATATTAGAGATAGAATTTATATGAGGCTTAATATCTACTTAGATGTTTTTAAATAATTATGGAAATTTTAAAAATATTCTTAAATTTTAAAATTAATCGATTAATAAATAAATAAAATTTATGAAGTATTATCCAATTAGTTCTTCTAAAATTATTTAAGACCAAATTCTCAAAATTAAAAAAAATTATATCAATTTTAATAAAGTAATATAATAAAAAGATCAAAAAACTTCTCTTCCAAGCTTATATAGAGTTTTTACACTTCATCTAGTCTATTGGTGCAAACTTTAGCATTCTTTAAATGTGTTAAGTTTTTCAAGTTCTTCTAAGAGAATCTTAAAAGGTTTTACTCACCACCAAAACTTTGTTATTGTTCATGTCAAGTTGAGTCTACAAATATCTAGTTCTGTTATCCATCAATCTTCTTTGCAATAGACTTATATGTTTCATGCATTTTTAGTTTGTGTTCTTGCCATTTTTAATGAACAACTTCACTTGCTACCTACAAAGAATTCTTGCTAGCTCTAAGATTCTAAGAGCTCAATTATACCTTTAACAAGTTAGGCAATAAGATTCAAACTCTTGTTGCCATAAATCTCTTTTCACAAATCTAATGTTGCTTTAAGGCTATCAAAAATTTTGATGACTTTGAGATTTGAGGTTCTTTCAAAATAATTCACAAAAAATAAAGCTCCTTCAAGGTAATCAAAAAACCACATACTGCTAAAAAATTCATACAATCTATTCAATCCTAAGAAAGCAAGCTTTAATACTATGTGAAAAAATATGAAGAAGTATATTATTAAGATAAAAGCTTAATGATGTAAATACAAATGAACTCACTATCCAACCAAGGAAGATTCAAGAAAACTAATCATATGAAGAAAGTCTCAGCTTTGGACTCTTATAATACAAGTTTGTAGTATAATGGTAAAGTCTTTCTAGTGCAAACACACTAACAAATGGCTTACCACCAAGTTTTTTTGAACTTAGGAATAATCATCTTGTTAAGCTATATATAATTATATGGTAGTACCTACCAACTTATGGCAATTACAAGTTTTTAATTGGTAGTAATTAAGTATCAACAGTCCACATATCAGTCAAGTACATAATATCTAGTATGAACTATTCATATATCTAAACGTTCTCTTGACAAGTTTCTAAAAAGATAATTTTTTTTCCAAAAATATTTAACAATATTTTGTATAATAAAAACAAGTTTTTAGAGGTTTTTAGAGATTAACATGGTTGATATTTGCAATTAATATTGTTAAATTAGAAGTAAATTGAGATAGAAGATTATAATAGTTTTTCACCTTAAATGACAACCAAAATCAAAGAAAATATTTTTATAATCTACTAAATAAAAAAATTATTAAATATATTATTAGATTTAATTTTTTTTTAAGATTATATATATATATATATATATATATATATATATATAATACATGTATTAATACATATATATATATAATACATGTATTAATACACATACACATCTAAATCAAATCTTAGATATTGTAATATGAAATCTTAATTAATTTGATAAAACTTAGTTTTAATATAAAAAAAATAGATTATATTTTAAATTAATATATTTTTAAGAAATAGCAATAATTTATTTTTTAATATAAATATTAAAATAGGACTAAGAGTAAAATAATTATTTTCATAAAAGATTATAGAAAAATGTTTTTGATTCAAATATTTAGTTTACACCCTAAACTTTAAAATAGGAAGTACAATGTCAACTCACAATTTATACATGAGATTTTTGAAGTAAATTTTATTTTTTAAAAATTATTCAATTTTTAAAGATAGAGTTTTAAAACATATATATATATATATATATATATATATATATATATATATATATATATATATATATATATATATATATACTATAAAAATTACTTTATATTAGAATTTTTAATATTTATTTAAATTTATTTCAATAAAAATTTTTAAAATAAAAATTATGCATATTACTTCAAAAAATTAATTATTTTTAATTGAATATATAGCTAAATATTTAGATATTTAAAAATATTTTAAGATTAAAAAATATTTATAATTATAAATAATAATAATAATAGTAATAATTAGATTTTAAAAAAACTTAAATAGAAATTCTAAGCTTTTTTAATTCATATTCAAAAAAAATTAAATATAAAGGTTTTATTTCAATATTAATTTTTTTATTGATGATATATTATTTTTAGTAAAATATTTAATTTGTAGTTATCTACTAAGAAAAATAAAAAATATTCTAAAAATAAAAATATTATTAAATTTTATTACCAAAAATATCTTCATAGTAACATTTACAGCGAATTATATGTAATATGAGATATTTTTTATAATTTGTAAAACTTATTACAAATACATTTTTATCTTGTTTAAAAAATATTTTTATTCATTTATTTATTCTTAATTTCAAAAAAGAGAAAATATATTTAACATTTAATTATAATCATAAAAATATACATTAATAACTTATTGGTTTTAGTCATGTAAAGTAGAGAGCTTGGTAAGCTATATGTTAAATTCGTGGTTGTACCTTCAAATTAGAGAGAATTGCAATATCATGGTTTAGCAATAAAAAAATTACTACAATACTTTTATCTTGTGAAGTAAAATAGATAGCTATTGCATATTTATTAAAAAGAAGTTTTATGGCATTTTAAACCATTGCATGAATATCAAATTAAAGAACCACTTTTAGTTTTACTTTGTAAAGACAGCACATTATAAATATATAATATTAAAAAAATTATACATAATAGAGTTACCAAATGTATAGTTTAATATATTTTTATATATAGAGAGAAAATAAATAGAATTATGAGTATATCAAAGCAAAGAAATAATAGCAAATGAATTTGTTATGGCAATTCAAAAAAACTAAGTTTATTGTTGGTAAAGAAATATTATTACTTATTCTAAGATCTAAAGAATTCCACACATATACAAGAATATTTAAAAAAATATTTTCTATATACAATGTGCATGAAATATAGTTGCTAATACCATAAATCTCTTCCAACCATTTGACAAATTAAGTTAAGATAGTTTAGTTTAGTATTTTTGAAAAAAATTAAATACGAACTTAGACAACTTTATACAATCTTAACAACTTTGGAACATAGTATAAAGGAAAAATCAAATAATTAACATGAATCTAATTAAGTTTCTTTAATTTGAATCTTACTTGTTGAATATAAAGAGCCTTATTAGGCAATTCTCAATTTCTTTTGTCTATTAAACCAGAAATAAAATAAATTCCAATTCTAAATATAAAATGAATTTATTTATACAAATTCAAGATTTTTTTTTTAATATTCACCTAATTATAGCAGTTTTCTGGGTGACACAGTGCTCACCACTACTGTTAAAATAACATGGAAAAGTGTGGCCATTTGTGATGTCCCCATTCCCACATGCTGTCACTAACAATATTTTTTTTTCCTCTTCTTCACCACTTGTAAATCCTAGTTTGTCAACATCACAACAATGCACAGACAGGACTCAAATGATGTGTAACAATGCAGTTTCTGCAAATGCTAAGGCAGGAAAAAGAGCCTCGAGAAAGTCCATTTCAAAACAGCTTGAACGTGTTTGTGTCAATTTGGTGTTGACACGAGGGCTGTATTCGCAGCTTAGGAAACCCACCCCTGTCTAAAAAACTCCAAAAAAAAAGGAAAAATCTCTCCAGTGATTCTCAATCCTGGATCAGATTATCCTAGAGAAGGGCCATTTATCTATCTTGCGAGACAAATCTGTAAAGGGAATAACCTCCTCTGCTTTCCTTGTGCGAATTAAGCATGTTCCTGGTAGGCCTTGGGGTGATTGTTGAAGAAGACGACTCAATCCTACAGAGGGCTCTCCTTGGGATCCCGTTACGCTGGATCTTTTCAGGCATGCCTGAGCTAATCTAACAGCATAGGAATAAAATAATTTGTTAATTTTCTCGCATATTATTATCTCAATAAGTAAAGCTAGACAATTCTATGATCTATCTTTTACGGAATTGGGCTCGAAGAAGCACGTGATGTGAAAGCCCCCAACTGAAGAGCAACATGAGTCAAAGAACTAGTCTCGTGCGAAGTCAAAAAAAAAAAAAAAAAAAAAAAAAAATGACATTACTTCTACCACATTTTTAGACGGATCCTATTTTTCCCAATATACAGGAAAAAATTGGACGATGGAATATTACTGTCGGGACTGGCAAAAGACAGGCAACGCACTTGTTCAAATGAACCTGGAATGTTTCGCGCATTAGTGCAAATGGCACCATGCTCTGATCCCCAAACGCACACCCACGCACACCCAGCACGTCAAGTTAATGCCCCTCTTAAAAGCATGCTTATTGGCCACCTATCAGAACAGATGCTGAATCCTAAAACGGCAATATGCTGTGCAACCTTTCATTAGAACCAGCAGGACTGATAAGGGGATAGAGGTCCTGATTTCAACTCAGCAATGAACTTTGACATAGAAAAGGAGATTGTATCCACAAACAAGTTCATCCGAGTTTCTAATCTCGTGCGTTATAAACCAAATTTACACGTGACTCAAGAGTTTCTGTTTGGGATGTTTGATGCGCTGCAGAATGAGCAATATAAGTTCCTTTTGACAGACGCAAAACTAAAATACCAACTATGTTCATAGGTTCTGACTGAATGTTAACTTTTTCCAAGTCAGACCATGATACACAAGTGCGAGTTACCCGAAGAAGTACGTAGAGCAAAATCGTGGAAATGTAAGATAAAAGGTTCGAATTGATGTCATAGTAAATCCAAGCCTATGGGATGTAGTTTCACCTGAAACTGCAATGGAACTGGCAACCTTTTTGACCATAGCTCGTGCTGTTGCGTTAGTCCAGGCTCGCGCAACTGGTGCGCAAGTTTCATCTCTCCATTCTCTACACTCAAAGACTCGATCATCTGCTTCATCAAATATTTGTCAGATTCCAAGGCTTTCAAGCGATGAGTCAGTTGTTCGACTTGTTCCTCCACTCCCGATCTTGTGTTGTCTCCCCAAAGTGAGGAAGAAACGCCCAGGTTTTTGGTTCTCACATTCCCTTGCAGGTCCTCCCACTGAGAAACTTGGTCCGCATCATCAACGCATTGGTAAAAGCGTGAAGGGGGGATCAAACATAGGGGGTCTAGTTCACTCTCACAATCCATCTCTTCGTCTCTTTCAAAAGAATATAAGTCTGGTTTGCCAAGCCGGTCAGATGGAGTTGTTGGATGCATTTCTGCATCTATCAAATTGAGAAAACAGCCATCTCCTCTCATGAAGGGCCCCCTCACACGCGACCTCTGTACCTCATGGACATCCTGCACAAATAGCGCATCCTCCAAGCACTCTTCTTTGCCACCGGTACCCTTGGGCACTTCACAATGGACAGATTTGTTGATACCTACACAACTACGACGTTGATGACTGCTGGCTCTGACTTCAGCCTTCTCTAAGGACAAAAATCCATTCAAGTCCCGCTCATCGTCACAAATTTCTTGAAACAGTCTTCTACGCATAGAATGGTCACTTGTGAAACCTCTCGAAGAATCCTCATATTTCCTCCATGACATTGAGACTGTGCTTTCAGCAACATCACAATTACGCATTTCAGATCTAGGGCCTCCGCTTTTGGGCTTGGTTACTGATTGTAAGCCAGGAAGTCTTGCTCCTTGCTGCTGCTGTTCAAACATCCGAATAAATTCCTGAACTGAAAGCCTATTCTCTTGTATCCGCCTCCCCTCTTTGGTTTCCTCTTTAGCATTCAGCGACACATCCTGAATACCCCATATTCTTCTCAAGCTGGGGTATCCCGTCGTCTCAGATTTCTCCTCATTACTTAGGTCGGACTCCTCAACATTGGTGGTAACGTTACAAATCGGAACCAGGGGATTGTTTTCACAGCCTGCCACCGTGGACTTCACCCCTATCAGAGTCTTTTCAAACTCAGCCTCTGTGCTACGACCTGCATCTGGAAAAAGTGCCTCGTAGAGTTGGCTCTTCATGGGGCTAAACTTGACAACACACTTTACTTGCTCCTCTTTCGCAGCGTTTGAAGTCACCATGACCTTTTCGTTTTGGTTCAAATTTGGTGCTTGAGCGATTGCTTTTGGTTTTAGTGATTGCCTCCTCTCATCCTTCATCAAAGAGTCCAACCTTTCTCTGCACAGATGAATTTCTTGCACCAGTGCGAGCTTCTCCTCCTCTCGATTCATAAGAAGTTCGTTCAAGGCTTCAATCGCCTCCTGGTCAAACATTGCCTTCTCTAGCACCATCCTCTGAAACTGCCGAGCCTCCAGTTGTACAGAAGCTTTCTCTTCTTGCAAGCGAGAAATCATTGCCAGAGCCTCACTAGCAGCTGATGCAGAGCAATTCCTCTCCTGCTCCAACTCGCTGTAAAGAGTAGCTAGTGTTTCACGCTCACATTGAAGTGTTTCGTAAAGATCTTTGTCCTTCAAATCCTGATCTCTATCCCTGCCTACCTGCTCTTCATCTTTGGAATTCCTAATCGATGAACAATAGCTTGGTTTATTCTCATCACCACCACCTTCATATCTAGAGTCCGCCATTGAAGCATTGGATAACTGACCTAATCTACAGTCCACTACACCATCTGAAGTAACCGACTCAGCAAAACCTCCCATTGCGACCTTTGGAAGGGTATCAGTATGTTCAGTGTCGTTCATGTCTTTCCTCGAACGCGTAGGGCTGGAACAGGGAGCGTTCAAGCGAGAACTTCTTAATGCTCGAAACGCTATGTAATGAACAAGACAAAGAGCAAGAACCACACAGGATTCAACTACACCAGTGAAGTTTCGCAGGAAAGAAGTAAGGTTCCAGGCTAATTGGAAATCATCTTGTAGTCCTCTCCATGCCATCTCCGAGCAGGTTATAGCCAGTGAGACAAGCTACGATTCCGCCAATCCGGCGTAACTCATGGAGACTTTGAGGAAACTTGTTCCCATCATGAAAAAAACAAACGCACCACTGATCTGCACCGCACAGCTGATTGATTACATGCAAGTCCAAATCAGAATGACCGATTTCCAATTTCCTGCTCCTCTCGAAGCATAAAAATGGCGAATTTCTCCCTGACTGCGTTCCACAGACTCCGTTCAAGCAAATCCACCGACTCTCCTTTCCACTTCCGAATACTCTCTCTCGAAGTTCAGGAGAAAAAATTTGAGCTACGTGCTCATGAACTTCGGCGATTCAACTCCCTCAATAAGGAAAAAAATCACATCCATCACAAACGAAACCTGAAGCTCCCAAGACTGCAGATCAAAATCCACCTCCCTGACCTGCAAGAAATGCAAGAACAACTTAAAACTATTCTCCACGCACCTTCCTACGTTCCTACTCAGAGCTGCCTATAAACTCGGATCGTCCGAATGGTTCAGAAATTGAGTCGCAACGTATCGATGCGGACACGAGAAGAAAGGCACAGTGCATCTGGAGTACGAGACCGATTGAGCAGCGGATGCGCTTCGTGAACAAATTAGCGAAGCGAGAGCTTCGAACTTCAAGCTGCAGCAGCAGCAGCAGTCGGGCTGTTCCTCGGCGATTCTCGAACCGGTGCCACCCGGTCCTGACGCCGGTTCTCAGCCGACGTTTCCTACCCAGGGGAACGCGCCGTCTGGCGTATTTTCTGTTCCCCCGGTTCTGTTCCCATTACAGTTTCTCACACGTCCATTATATTATTGCAGTTATTCGTTTAAAATAAAGTCATCGTTTCGTAATTTATTGTTCTATAAAAGTATTAAAGTATCTTTGTATCATGAGGTTTTAATTTTTTGAAGGTTTTTTAAGGAAGGAGTGGTATTTATCAAGGGTTGACTTGTGATACACATGCTTAATTGTGTATGGTTACTGGTTTATATTCTATAAATGCCACTTTCAATTCTGGTTGAAGGTTCACAAAACTTAGTTGATGAATTGCTGAAGTGTTTCATTTACAATATTAAAATAATGTATAAATAAAAATAGGCCAAATGAACATAAAATCTTGGAACATGGTATTTAAGCGCTGCAGTAGTGGTGTGAAGGTATTGATGAGATGGGTACTGGGCTTTAAGACTCTTTGTGGACTTGTAAAAACATGTATTCAGTGCAAGATATATTTTAGAAATTGATTGGGATATGTTGTTCCACAGGTTTAAAGCCAAGGATCCTCATTTACTCAAGAATATTCAAACTAAATAAATTAAAAAATTTATGATAGATATTTTCGTTTCTTATCTTTTCCTTTTGTTGTTTTTATTGATAACTGTGTTGTATCAAATTGTAATTAAAATTTTAATCCTTCCAAAAATACATTCACTTTCAAAACGATATACTGTTGAATATTCCCAACCAATCCACATTCATACATGGTCAACAGTTGATATATTGATATTTTTGGTGACCCAATTTGTATGTGAATTAAGTTTATATATATGCTATTTCAGAATATAATTATTTTTTAACTATCAATCTTAGAATGCATGCATAGATTAAGCATATTCTAAATCTAATTACAATATTCTCGAATAATTTTGAAAAAAACTCTATTTTCATCACTTTTTTATTTACTAAATTTTATATTTATTACTTCTTCAGAAATAATTTTTTTATTTTATTTTATTCTTTTTACTGTTTCTTAAACTAAAAGTAATTTTAAACAATTACAATAAACATACTTCAAGAATGAAATTTTGAAAAATATGTTATAATACAATTGCATTAAATGGGCCATGCATAAATTTTAAATATCTTTTAAGAAAATGTAAATAATAATTTATTTTTACATGTTTGATGGAACTAAGTATTGCTCTAATTTTGGTTATGTTATCAGTTATATGTGCAACATTCTTGTTTAAGATTCTTGAAATTTTAAAACTGTAACACAATATAGAATAATTATAAGTATACACATAACATAAAAAATTATGAAATTTATTTACTTTTAATTCAACTTTTTCTTTTCTTTCTAATTACTAATTCTAATGTTGATGTCTATGACACCTTTACACACAATAACTTTCGTATAGATTTTAATTTTATATTATTATTATATTTTTAAAAAATATACAATCTTTTATATTTTTTTAATTTGAATACATAACAATATAATATTTTTTTTGTTTGTATTATTTTTTATTTTCTTATAATTTGATTTTTTTATTATTAAAGCCTAAAAAAATATGTTAATAGTTTAAATCTATAAAATAAAATTATATTAGAAAATATATTTTATTTGATTGTTAATGAAATAAATATATTTATATAAATTTAATATATATTTTTTAATTAAATAAATTTTAAATCAAATATATATATATATATATATAATCCTACTTGAATAAAATATTAGAATAAATATTTGATTATAATAACATCAAAAAAAACTTATGCTATATATCTTAATAGAAATGTTTAGCAAAAGTCAAAGAAGCCAATTTATATACAAATTAGAGTTCATACCAATGTCCTTTAAGTTTAAATATAATTTAAGTTATAAATGATAAAAATTCTACTAATAAATAATTCCTTGAATATAACCACAAAGAATACGTTATGATTTGTTTTTAAGAAAATATCATCTTTATAACGCTTGTCAAATATTCTTAAGACAAAAAAAATTGCATATTTTCAATGTCAACTATGGAAGTACTATTCTTATATCTTGTCACAAATATACATAATTACCTAGATTAAAGGAATTGGGTAGAAATAAGTAGAAGTAAATATATTTGATAATATCTTATGAAGAAGCTTCATAGATACAATTTGACTTTATATGTGTTTGTAGATGATTAATATATTAAAAACTCCACCAACAAGTTGGCCATATGTTGCACACATTGGTCACTTGTGATAGAAGTTTGTCATATCACACACATATGAAACTTGTCTTGTAAATTTAACACATATCAGAGGTTCTATAGAACATTGTCATATAGCTTTTAGTTAGATAGTATACATAGATAATATATGTCAATGTAATTCTAGTCCTAGGTCTTGTTTCAAGACTCTCTAATCTTCTTATGTTTTGCAATAATCATTCAAGTTTCAATATTATACTAATTTTGAATAAATACCTACTCATTCTAAATTAAACAAGAGTATATTGAGGTTTTATTTATTTGTAATTCATATCCTTCACATATCTATGGAAGAAGTGAATAATGAGGACCAATGTTTATGCCAAGAAGTTGTACAATTGAAAAAAAATAAGTTGATTAATTATATAAATTAATTCAAAAAATCTTTGTTAATACTAATATAAAGAAGATTTTTTTAAAAAAATGTTGAAGAAGCTTGATGGAAGAAGATCAAAATTTCAAGGATTTTTCTAATAAGTGAAGTTTTATTTAAGATTATTCCTTCTCAATAACTTGACACATTTACTTACATTGACGTGTAACATAAGTTCTTACTTGAAAATGCACTAGACTTAATTAAAATTTGATTAAAATACTAAGAATATAAATCTTAAATAAATTCTAAATATAGCTCATATAAATTCTAATTAAATCTCAATGTAAGCTTAATCAAATCTTAATAAAATTCTAAAAATTCCAACAAAATCCTAACAAAATTCTAACCAAATTCTAATTAAATCCTAACCAAATCATAATCAAATTTTAATCAAATCATAAATAAATCCTAGACCAAATTCTAATCCTAAACCAAATTATTGTGTAAACAAAGATCATTACATGTAATACATTGAATGCTACAAACCAATCATGAAGTATGTAATTTAAACTAAATACAAATGCACACCCAATACATTCTTAAGGAAAAATTAGAAATCTATAGCAAACTAAGTTAAGCTATTTTTCACACTATAAAGGGGGAATTCAAGAGTACAAGTGTAGAAATAAGAAAAATCCTAAAACTATACTAAAATGGCTAAAACACCATAGCCAAGCAAATCCTTACAACAAGATCTTTCACTTTCAAAATCAATCACAAGACTTGACTTGATAAGAATATCAAGTCAAAGATTTTTTTCAACTTAAGTATTTAAATATTAATTTTTATGAATAAAATAAATTTAAAAAAAAACTATAATTGGATGAAAAATCACTAATCAAATTCAACTACATATATTTGACAAGATTTGGCATCCAATATCATATCATGTGATAGTTGTTGTATAAACAAAGATCATTATACACAACATATCAAGTGCTACAAACTAATCATAAAGTAAGTAATTTAAACCAAATACAAATACACATCTAACATATTGTCAAATGCCCCTCCTATTTAATTATGAGCCGCTCCAATTAAGTAGGACTACAAAACATGCATCATTGAAGATGAATGCTATAATAATGTTATTGCCAAATTGTACTCTTCTAAACTAAAGTTGTATTAATTAGACAACAAAAGTATGTAATACATATAATCAAAGAAATCTTCAATCTTTATCAAGAGATGAGGCATAGCTAGAAGAATTTTTATAATACTGACAAATTTAATTTCTTAAAAAAATAATAAAAAGAAGTGGTGTCAAATATACTATATGCTATTCACATTGGCATTGATCATACAAAAACATAGTAGCAGCTCCTTTCTTCTCACTACATATAAAATAAGGAAGATCAATTGATACAATTGTTAATTTAGGATGTATAGAATCATCAATAAGAAGATGACAAAGAACACAATTTTTTGAATGCTCCTGATACTCTTATCAATCTTTGCCTTCTAACAACAAAATAGTCTTAGAAAGTACATTCTTTATACATAAAATTATGCATCCTATGTTAATATCAAATATTGTAAGTAATTCACATTATAAATATATATTATCTCTTTTAAAGAATCTATACAACTAACATCTATAAACTCTACTACAAATACAAGCATATTATAAACTATTGCAATGTTGAGCAATAGATAAGTTTTCCATAGCTATAGACATGGCTTGTTTAAAGAACTATGATTGATCATATAAACATTGAACTCAAACATTATGATCATCTAGGTCTACAATTGGAGTTAGTTTTTCATATATTGAGCTAAGTAGAATTAGATCCCTTCCATACAATAATTGATAAGGAATATAAGATGTCAAAGATGCTTATGTGCTAAAACAATAATCCATTATAATCTATAATAATATAAAGTTCAAATCACAATAGTTGCTATATAATATTCCATATTTTTGTAATCCACATTTGATAGCCTAAATAATCCACTCAACTAGGCGATCTATCTCAAGATGATTTCTAGAAGTGATATAATTATCTATCAAAGCTTTAGTATATAAAGCTTGAAAACTCCTAAAAAACTCTCTTCCTTGATTTGTTAAGATTTCAAGAGGTGCTTCAAACTATGCCAATATTTTATCAAAAAAAAACCATAGCTACTAATTTTGAAGAATTTTGTGATAAAACCACAAATTCAATCTACTTGTTAAAATGCTCTACCATCACCAATACATATTTAGCTCTATGTGAGGTAACAATAAGTAGTCTAGCAAAGTCTAAAGATCAGCAATAACACAAATTCATAATAGGTAATGACTTCAACTGAGG